CTGCTGGCAAGCCCTCCAACTCGCAGCTCACGGATACACCTACACCACCGCATTAATTCTCCTTTTCCGCATCCTCGACACACACACTGTGTCACTGCTGAGAAAACAACTCGCTCCCCATTAATCTAACTCCACGTTGGGTTTTGCGTGGCAACCTTCTTTACAAAGATTGACTCTACATGACTCACCCTAAGGATGGAGGGATGTACGCTAAACCAGAGAAGACAAAAATATTTTAAAGATTTCAGTTTTTACACTCAACTGCTATACTATTTAATGGCTAAAGGATTGTGACTTACATATTCTAGTGTTACAGTTGTAACAGCACATGAATTATGCACAGTGGCCGAGGAACCTGTGGTGGCTGGTTCAGCCCAAACGGAACGTGCTAACAGCCTGCTTCCAATGCTCCAAACTCAAATAAATGCATTTGGTCTCCAAAGTTCCTAACACACCTCTACAAAAGTGAAACAGTTACTTTTTACCCTAGAAACGATTATCCCTCCTCTATCCAAGCACTTTTCATTTTAACACATGAATTTATGTACTCTGAAGGGCCTGTGAGCTAAACCACCACCCGCCGGGCTCCTTACACAAAAGAACCTCATTTACTCTCCAGACACATTTGCTCTTCCGTGGCTTGTGGCCATCATGCGTTAACATCAATAGGCTGAGCAATTTTCCTTCTCCTAGGAACATTTGCAGACATAAGGCCATAGGTGATAATCAATACAGTGTATTTTAGTTACCTGCTCTAATAAGTTCTTAAATCACCCTGTTTTGAGTCAAACAAAGCCTTCCATCAGAACAACTGCCGAGCAAAATCTATCCCATCAGCCTAACTGGCAGCTGTTCTCAACCAAAAACAATCTCTCCAATTAGATGGAAAAATAAACTATAAGGCTCTTGCATTTTTTCCACCGATTCAAGAGATGCAGCTTGCTTGAGTTGCCCCAGACCTTGTCCCTCTGCTTCACAGCACTCACCTTCCACTTGACAATATGCTGCCAATATAATTAAGAGGTAATCAAGAGATAATCAAAGCACAGGCAACAAATGCTTCCCACATGCTCAATAAAGACCCATGCTGGAGACAAAATGTTTACACAGAGCTGATGAGAGAGAGATTTATTCTTGGTCGAGGTAGAGGCAAAGTCAATTAGTAGAAATATAAAGATCATTTTACTTCAAGCAAAGAATGAATATTCCTGAATTTCAGGTTTCTTGGAGGAATGGGCAATTCCACCCAAAGAAATTCTCTTGAACATCACAAAATGTCAATACACAGTGCCTTTGAGATAAGTTTTACTACATGGGAGAAAATGGTTTAGAGATCAGAGACAACTAGTCCTATTTTGGCTGCCTATAAAAGGATTCTGCGTAGGTCATTATACTGCAGAGGCACAGAGCTAAGATGCTGAGCTCCTTAAAGTCATTTTAGGTAAGAAGCACTAATACTGCTATAAAAATGTCCAAAGCACCCCTGCAAGGTCAAACCTCAAAAGGTTTTAAGTGTTATCAGAAAGAACAAACAAAAAATTTAAAAAGAGATTTTAGTAGATTAAAACAAAATCCCTTTTTACGCTTCTAAAAACAGGCCATTAAAAATCAACGTAGCCAACGTTACTCAATCTTTAAAAAAGAGTAACTACCAACATAAAACCTTAACGCTCCTGCTCATGGCAATCCAGAGGGCTGCTGATTCACATCAACTGCATAAGAGACTCTGATCAGTCCAAAAACTTCAGCTGATTCTCCAGCCCAACACACCGCTTTGCTCCAGCTCCGCAGGAAACAGAAACCGCGCTGCCCGAGGGGACTGATGAGCAAACAGCCCTTCTGCCCGAAGTAACCCTTCTCCGTTTCCCACTACTAGAACAACTCCACGTTACCTGCGAGACTCCCGGACGAGCTGCCACGCAGCTAACTCTGCACCGGCAAAACAGGCGACGGCATTAAATGGCTGTTATAATAATTAAAAGATTTCAAACAAGCCGCAATTGAATGGTAAAGGACTAATGGCACAGAGTACGTGAAGGGAAACAGAAGGGGGAAATACGTGTTACACTCATGGGGAAAATAATGGCTGGTGGTGGGGAGGAGGAGCAGTGATTGACTGTTTTAATATGCCAGAGGGAACTAGAAGGGTGGGCCACTTGTAGATACGCTCACCGAACTAATATTGCACTTCAGCACACAAACAAGAGATAAATTAGGGAGCGGCAGGGCAACCAGGATGGATGGTGGTGCACACTAGAAATGATTTAGGAAAGCCAGCCCAAGAGATTGCTACCTCTCTTCCTTCTTTGTGGAGATTGCTGTTTGCAAAGTGCTTCGGAAGATTTGTTTTCCCCACGTTAGGTACAAAAAGAGCTGGGTAATACCTCAGCGTTGCTCCCTCCTCCTTCCTTACTGCGCTCTTCCAGCTGCGACAAGACGACACTACGATGCACCCACTGGGCGATGACCTACTGCACCATCGCAGTGTTTCAACTTCGCTGCGTTCTGCTAGTAAAGAATGTGTTAATGAGGGGTTTTGTACTACGTTGTCCTAATCGCTCTGTACGTACAACAAATTGACAGAGCGCTTGCACAAGAAGAGAAGACACCTCCCCTTTGCACACCCCAGTTAAGGTGGAAGCCATGGCACACTTATCGTAAGGCTTTATGCACGTTCCTGTTACGTCTCCCCAAACGGGCAATAAAAACCCGTTCCAGTGCTCCATGCTATGGCGTGAAGCAATCTCATTAAAGAAAGGGGTCACGCTCACGGACTTCCAACTGTGTTAGGGTGGGCACTCCTTAGGTTCGACTACTGGGAAAACATACTCTCATGCATCTCCCATACACATTTCAGAATAAATGTATATTAAATCCTCTCCTCAGCTGGAAGATTGACTCAGTTAAACAGGCAAGAAAGTGCTTTTGTTTATCCAAAACAAGCAAAGCGACGCCGCTTGCCAGCAGAAACAGTCTGCAAAGCAAGCAAGCCAGCAATGCCCTGCATCTCTGCCTGCGCTCATCCGTCGGTTCAACAAGGTCCTCAACGTACAAGGTGCAAGCCATCATCCTGGGAAGGGATACAGCATTTCAGAATATATGAAAATTAAACACAAAAAGGCACTGCTCCTCCATAATTCTGCAATAAAAATTAAAGAGGGACAGAGCTCCCCTGAATTCCATCACTAACTCCCTTCTCCTGTGACAGAAACACTCACATATTTGTCTTTATATTTTAGTTCCAATTTTTCTTAGTCCCTCAGCACAAAGTCCCCATTTGCATGCCCCCCAGACTCCATCTATCTCCCCTCTCCATGCAATACCAGCTTCATTCCAGTGGGACTGCTTAAACTTTTAATAATTTAGCACAAACTCATCCAGCCACCTTTGTTTCCCAGAGGTGCTGCAAGGTTTGGACTTTTAACCAAAGAACAGAAGGCCGAGGGTTGCAGCTTTGCTCAGTGACTGTTTTATTGTGCAAATCCAGGAACCGTTCGGCAATGGAGCCCGCAGAAATACTTTAACAGCACAAATGAAACGCGGTGTCGGAAAGACACCTAACGTGCGTTAGTCTTTCCTCACCCACGTGCGCTGTATTAGCTGGCAGATCGTGAAGGCAGATTTTCTTGCACTCCAATTTTCTGGGCTGAGTCAATGTCTAATGCTTTTAATTCCCATGTCACATTTTTTATAATGTATTACTGATGTCTTTTAACATTCTCTCTTCTTCTGGGAATAGGTTGTATTATACTGCATCACACAAAATATTAGTGAAAATGAGTATTTCTTACTGGGACAGTCGTGCTGAGGAGCGACTAAGGAGAAGTTGAAGCTGTTTGCAGTCTTGGGGCTCAGGCACCAGAGTATCTGCTTGTTTGGAATTGTGTTTCTGGAACCGGTAAGTATTTCAGACTTTATCAAGTGCTTTGGACAAGATTTTTCATGTTTGTTTTTTCTGCACATACAATTCAACGACATGCCCTGTTTGATTGAATTTTCAGATTTCAGCCTGAATTCACCTGCTCCACAGTGACACTGTGAACTCCCAGAGCTTGCTGGAGGGGAGGCAGCCAGGAAGCTGTTCAGACCCAGCTATTTTAACAAATATTTACTGCTATGAATATTTGGTACAACTGTGAAATCCTTCTTTCTTCTGCCATTGCATTCCCCTGCTCCAGCCACAACGTCAAACCCATGCTTTGCCTCTTTTGTCCTGCATTTCTCTCCATTGAACTATTTGTAGTTCATTAATGAGTCTTGGAGATGTTAAGACCAACACATAGACACACAAAAAAAAATCTGATAAAATCAACAGTGTAATCTGAATTAATCTAATCCTTCAAATGTCAAACAGTTCCAAATGCCCTTTCCAACAATCGCTTTCTTCCTGCTGCGATACGAACTCTTTCTGTGTCGCTAAATGAGACTCATTTCTTTGAGCAATCAGCGGGCAGACCTGCATCCATTCTGCAACACTCCCACAGCGTTCAAAGACTCCAGCTCCTCTCTTACCTGTAATTGGGTTGCTATATTATGGTTTTCTTTTCAGCTAGAATTTCAAACTTATTTTATTTGCAGTACGTTATGGCTTTCTCTCAACTAGAATTTCACAGTCGGTGTATACACTATTGCAATATTTCTACTATGGACAAATCATAGCTCTTCCAAAGCACAATTAAGGTACTTCAGTTTTAATATATGACCTATGTTAGGAAATATTTCCAAACACATTATTAGGTCTTTTCAAAGGCCATGAATATAACTTGCTGGCAACGGCAGTAATGTATAAACCACAGTCCATCACAACAGAGATCAAGATGCTGACAGAGCATCAGGCCTCCTATTCTTACTGCACAATAGACAGAACGACTCTGGAAGTTGAATAGCAGAGCCAGTCAATCAATATATATTAATATTAATACCTGTATTACCGTAGTGCCTGCAGCAGCCAAGAACCCACAGCGCGAGGCACCACACAAATGCAAACGAACAGCCCGTGCCTGGAAGGGCTGTCGCCTAAGCCAGGAAAGAGAAAGCCAGGAAGGAATGAAGTGTGTGAGAGCCTACCAAACAGGGCAGGGTCACAGGCTCAGCAATCCTGATTCCTGAATACAGCACCCTTCTTGGTGAAATAAAGAGAGAGATTGACAGCTTGTGGGTCAAATCGTCCCTCAAAAAATAAGTTTTCACTTTTCCTCAATCATTCAGGTAAAAAGGATAATTAACGTAACAGTGGTCTCCCAAATGAAACAACTAGAACAACAATTTAATAGGTCAAAATTTCAAAAAGTTGTTTTCAAAAGGACTAAACCAAAAGGAAGAGAAGCTTGTATCTCCGGCAACCTCAGTGCTTTTATTACAGCTGCGCCAGATCCTCAAATCCTGAAACATTTGAGTGCGACTTAGGAAAAATTATCAAACCAGCAGAGACAAAGGCAAGCAAAAAAGATAAAGAGCAAACGGTTCAGATTTAATGTCTGAAAAGGGGCAGTCGTAATTATTCAGGAGGTAAAGGGATGCTTCAGTCGAGTGTAAGGGACATTTTGCAGCGTCTGCCCAACCCTCCGGCACGCTCACAGCCAGCTGCACACCGCCGGCCTGGCCTCGGAGCCGGAGGAGCTGTCACCCAGGCACAGCCAGCACCACGGGAACCAGGAGCATCGCCTCTGAGTGCAGGAGCCTGTCTGCGCCAGCGAGGCAGGGGCTCCTTCTGCTCTTTCCCCTCTCTGACTCTGAGATGTTCCCAGTAAGAGAGTCGTGAGGCCAGTGCTGAGCACCACAAGCCCAAATTCACAGCTGCTGCTGCAATGAGGAGGGAGATCAGGGCAGTGCGTGCAACGTGCAGAAGAGATGGTGTGGATGTGGCTACAGCCAGTGAAATGCTGACATTTACTTACACCTTTTCTGCAAAAGATGGTGCAAAAACTCTACTAACATACAACAGTAGTTGCTTCTCCAGTCAGCGTTCTGCTGCGATACGAATTATGTCTGTACATAGATCCCACTTTTAGTCACTACCTCAGCTGTGAACATGCAGAACGGCTTGTGTCCCTAACAGCAGAGAAACACGGTCATCTTGTCCGACCTTTGTGAATGGAGGAGCAAAGCCCAGGAAGCCAGCTGAGAGGAGAATATACACATATACGTACTAGAGAACCTAAACATCACACCACCATTTCAGCTGCAAGCAGTAAACCAAAACCTGAGTCAGGAATGCACACTGGTGCACACAGTCCCAGGGTTACAGGGCACAGTGAAAGGGGTGAGGCACAAACAACCCAATAAACAGCCCAAAAAGCACACAAGAGGGGAGGAGGAGGATGAGGAGCACTGGCTGACACACGCCAGCGCCACTATTTGCATCCATTACACATTTATAACACAGTAGAAGAGAACCCTGGAGGTTCTTGCCCACCGCTTGCAGATCACAGCGTGGCTGACAACGTGGCAGCCAGACTCACTCCCCAAACCACTGTCTGACATGCTGGGTATGCAAAATCTGTGAAAAGTCCCAACAAAACAGCAATTAGCAAAAACTTGCTGTATCATCCACTTCGTAACAATGCAGATGTAGATTCAACGTGATCATCAAATCACGTTGTTTGAAGTTTTTGTTCTTTTCAAGACTCCTTTGGCCAACTCTCCTGCCCTCCAGCCACATTACCTAGTTTATCGAAACAGTAAAATGGGTTTGGAGGTTTCGGATCAGGGATCCATTGGAAAATTCCTGAATGAAAGGCAATAGGTAAGTGTGGATGACTATTTTTAGAAAATATTTAAGCGAGCCCTAAATTAGTTTCTAAATCTGTCCTTACTAAAAGTTCATAATAATGAACTGAGCCACCTCTGACAAAAGTGGAATTTTCCCCTTTGCTAGATTTGCTTCAAACTGCACATTTTTTGGAGGACACTGAGTAAAGTGTGTCAAGGGATTCTCTGCTCACTTGCTCTCTCCTTTGCTAGTATTTGGGATTCACAAGGATAAAAACCCCTGTGTGTGACTTTTCTTAGGGAATTTCTTCTTCTGGTAAACCCTAAAAAGCAGGAACAATGGCATTATCCTGCTGTATGGTCCAAAGGGCTTTACAGAGGTATTTGGTTCATAGAATGGTTTGGGTTGGAAGGGACCTCCCAGCCCACACAGTACCACGCCATGCCATGGGCAGGGACAGCCTCCACTAGCCCAGGTTGCCCAAAGCCCCATCCAACCTGGCCTTGAACACTGCCAGGGAGCCAGGGGCAGCCACAGCTTCTCTGGGCACCCTGTGCCAGGGCCTCAGCACCCTCACAGGGAAGGATTTCTGCCTCCCATCCCATCTCCATCTCCCCTCCTGCAGCTTCAGGCCATTCCCCTTGGCCTGTCACTCCCTGCCCTTGTACAGCATGGCGCCCTTTGCTGCACCGTTTTGCACCAGAGCTACGATGCGAGCAAAGAAAAGAATGCATTCCTAGAACCTATCGTGCTACCGCGCAGGACTAGGAGACACACAGCATGGGATCCAGGTCTTCCCAGCTTCGTTCCTGTGGTTCAGCACATGGATGGCAACACCAACGCCAAGTCAAGTCATACTCCCATAGGAAACCAGAAATACAAGCTTTTAATACACTGGCAGTAAGAATGAATTCTATTCCCATAAGGAACTGGAAATATGGGGTTTAATATGCTGGCAATAAGCAAGCTACAAATAACTCAAGAAATTTACTGGTTTAATTTCAAAATTTCTGCAAAAACGTGTTCCACTCCACTGCAACTGGAAACGCGTGGTTCTACGGCTCAGGCTCTGCCACATCTAGCAGCAACATCATCTGAACGACACCATGGGAACTCCAGTGGCTTTTCCTACTCTTCCCTTACACACGCCCCAGTCCCTCATGTGACACAATGATGAAACAACTCACCGTGTTTACAAGTGACTGAAAAAATTTTCCTCAGAAGTTGCTAATCCAAAGCACGTAACATTCTTTGCCATGTACAAGAACACAGTTCGTTTAGCGAGGCTGCCCCATTGCTAGTAATTCCATCCAAAGTCCCCCCTATCGCCTCAATAATTAAAGCAACTTTGCATCACCAGCAAATGCTCCTCGATGACTGCTTGCACCTGCAAATGCTGTCGAGGCGCTCTCTTGTCAGCTTGCCTCCTTCTTAAGAGAAACCATGCCATACAATTTGAACTCGCTGGTGCCGCTATCAGTTTTACACTGATCATCATCACTTCATACCTCCTCTACTTTTATTTTCCTCCACAATTTTATGGAGGAAATTTATCAAAAGGATTTTGAAAACGCAGGCAGATTAAGCCCACTCAGCCACCTCTGCCTGTCATTTTATTAGCCTTTTAGCAAGGCACCCAGCTATCATTTTCTCCTACAGGAACTACGTTAGCTTGACTGTACCACTTTGTACTTAGCCAAATTTTGTACTGTTCTGGTCTTAATCATACTGAATGAAAAAATGAAAGCAAGCAGTTTTGTTATTACTGTTATTATTATTTTTATTATTATTATTCACGGGACATTTGTTTGATAGTCAAAACCACATGTAAGAGCTTTTCGATAACCGTGCCACCTCCATTTTCATTAATCATCTTAAAAGCAACAGTAAAAGTAGATGAACTCTGCAGCAAAAATTTTCTTCTACTTCCACAATGCATGTTAAGAATTTTTCCTCAGGCTGCCAGCTCTCCCCGCCCTTGACAGTCACAGGTGACTGGCTTTACTTTGTGAAAATAAAAGTACCAGATTGCTATTTGGAAAGATGACATGGCTGAACTGAAGCTTCTGTATTACAGAATTACGTCGCAATTATGTATGCACAGAGAAGAAATGCATTTGAAGATGGGTATTACGCTGCCACATGCCGTTTCATTTTTGATCCACTGACTTAATATACACTGACTGCGTAGATTTAAGTAGTAACAATCTTTCATGACTACAGCGCCTGAAATCTCCTTAAGGCATCGGCTCGCAGCCCTTGCAGCGAGGACAACCTGTTGGCTGTGACTTACCACATCGCGTGCATGTACGTCGGAGGTAGACGAGGGCTGCTGACAGGGGTGCAGTTGTAAGATCTCATAATTCTTTCTGCCAAGAGAAAGTTACGGAACAAACTGGCCACGAGCAGGTCTTGCCTGAAGAGCTTCTGGAAAAGATCTGCCAAGAGATTGCATGGATTACTAGATGCATATCTCTAACTTTAGTACCTCAGGTAATATGCAAAAATCATTTAAAACATAAAAATACATTAATATTTTATTCCTCTAACAAGGAATCTACAACAGTTTTGCAGTGACATGATACGACAACTATCAAATGGAAATCTGCTCTCTGAGTTCCCTTAAAACATCACAGTTACTCCCCATTAACAGAATTAAACACTTTCTACCTCAGGCTGGTGTTTGCCTTTTCTGCATAAAATGCTTCTTTTGGTGTTCCACTTAAAGTTGGTCTCCCTAAGTTTTTGGAAATTTCTGAGGGAGAAAAGGACTCGTGTGTACTATTTAATCAAGAACTACACATCTATTAACTGGCAGTTTGATGTGCTTGTGAGAAGCCAAAACGAGTCCTAAAAGACAGCAAATGTGCTCTCTTCAATAGAGGCCAAGAAGAATTTATGTTGCACTGAGCATCAGAAAGAGCACGGTTGGAAAGCTGTTTACAGATTTGGCCATCCATGCTCCAGAAGCACTACTGCAGAGCAGAAGAGGGGAAGAAATGGGATGAAGTTACTCATGGGAAACACAGTGTCGTACCAGCAAAGAGGAAAAAACTCTTTATTTATGATAGTAACAAAGACTGGAAGAAAATAGATTGCTCTTTACAAATATGGTAAGAAAGGAAGTTATTCAAGCTAAAGCAATCATGTTAGCACTAGGAAAAAAACTTTCAGGTTACTGATGATCAGGTTGGTGAAATGCTTCTGGTAAAAAGAACGAATTTTAAAAAAATCAACTAGCCTTAAGATCCAGTCTGATCTGTTCTTTCAATATCAGGCTTTAATTTTCCCCCTATTTCAGGGTCTCATTTATCTTACTCGTCATCCTTCTCCTTTGAATAAGCAATGCTCAGGTCTGATGAAACTTTGATTTGCCTGCCCCAGTCTTACCTCTAGGCAAGACATTCCATGCAATGGTGTCTGTGATAGCGGTGAAGATCCAGTTCAGCTCTCCCAGGGGAGTTCTCCTGTCATTCAGTCTTCCAGGAATCCTACAAGCAGGGGGGAAAAAAACAAGCACACTTCCTATTAAAAAAACATATTTTTTGAGACACATGCACACCTCTGAGCCTCAATCAAGCTCACAAAAGACAACAATTCCAGAACCTTAATTCTTAACCAAGAGTTGATGTTGCTAGACAAACTTTTCTTATCCAAAATCTATTACATTTGAATTTGTTGGCAAGATGAATTGCCAGATAAAGGACAATAAACAAGGAATTGTCTATAGGTAACTGAGCTAACGGAAAACATCGGGGAAGACATCACAGATATGATGTGGATTTCTGACACGCAATGGAAATGCCTTTTTCTTCAAAAGTGCCACCCTGCTTCAGTTTATCCATTATTCACTTCTTGCTAAAATATTTAATAATAAACGCAGTGTATATTACAAACTGAATGTTCACAATCCATAACATCCCTGTGTAAGAACTTCTGAGTGATCAGAAAAAAACAATTATTATTTTTTAACAGTCAGAAAGCTGAGAACGGTTAGAAAACACTGTCCTTTTGTTAAAAACTGACAGTAACACACGTGCGTCACAGCTTCGTGTTGCTGTGAAGCGCTGCCTGTTCGTGAAGAAACGTGACCCAGTAAGTCTCACCTCCCCGTTCCAGCTAGACTAGCTTTTAAGCCAAGATCAGAGCAGGCACAGGCCTGCTACAGGCGGGGCGGCTGCTCGGTTTGAGGGGCACGTTTGCCGTTTCTTACACCAACACAGTTTTTCACCCAGTAGGTTCTCTGAAAACTTGAATTAATGAATTTAGTCCTTAGCTGTCTACAGATTTGTTGCCATCAGTACTGCATGCAGGTGCAAATACAGTCTCTTGCTAAAAAAGTTACTGAGCATAATGAGCAGATTTTCTCAAACAGGAGACGTTTTCTGCAATTCTGAACTTTCCAATGAATACAGCGGCATCCATGGAAATCAGTAACTTGAATGTCAGTTCCTTAAGCTCATTTAAGATTTAACACATTGCCCCACAAAAACTCAACAGCAGAAGACATGTTCTTTTTGAGTTCTACAAACCAGAGTGAAAAAGATCTCTGAAAAGCACCTTCCAATGAACAAACCAAAACGCTGCCGAATGCCGTGCTCTGGAGCCCTCTTATCGCAAAATCACAGCACGAACGGAGGCACCACGTTTTACCCCCACCGGCTGTATGTAAGATTTGATGCTTGCCTACAACGAAGTATTGACTTAATCCAGGTTTTGGTGTAGTGGTAGTCAACTCATGCTGTGTGTAGCCACTTAATCTCACCCGTTTGTGCCATGATAGCACCTACATGCCTAAAAAGTATAAAATAACAAACCACAATGGTTTTCATTGTATTGTGTTCTCTCCCCCCCGTCCCCAAAGAGAAGGAAGTCCTTTTCCCCGTGGAGTCGGGGGCTGGCAGCGCAGCCTGCGAGGGAAGCACACAGCAGGCACGGCCACGGCCGCCGCAAGCCGTTCTGCCACCCCCGGCAGCCCGGGGCCTTCCTCCATCTGGGCAATGGCTGCAACTGGGAACGTCGTTTTTCAACCCTAAGAGTATCAAAACCCTGTCAGCAATACATATCGGGAGTCTATTTGTGGTGCCTTAAGGCACTAAAAACGCTGAGGAGTCTAATTGCTAATTTTATTAAATATTTTAAAGTAGAAAAAAGTGGCACTAATCAATATCAGGCACGGTAGCTTTCCAAATAGCGATCCACTGGCCCCTGCTCATAGGCAGCATACACAGTGAAAGCAAGCAAAGGGTTTGGGGTTTTGTAAGATTGCATTTTAGATAGGAGAAAATAACTCAAATAATGCAAAAATTTGGAATATTCATACAGACACCTCTGTCCTCAAACAAAGCAAAAATGGAGAGCCAACTGGTGATTCTACTGGAGATAATCCAGCTGCATGTTACATTAATAAATAAATGCTTTTAAGTGCATCCCTTAAAGCCAGAGGGTTATTACAGTATACACAAGTAGCATGGGACTGAAGTAACGCTTTGATTTGTCACTGTGAAGGCCCTTCTGTGACTACGTGTGTATATTTTGGCTATAAGATGACTTGCATTTGATAGAAGATTCTAATAATATCTGAGTTGTTAACCTCTTCTCTTTGAAAATCACTGTCATCAGTACACAGGTCCCTTAAATCTTGGATTCTGAAGTTTTACAGCAGTATGTTCACTATGCTTTTCACAGTGGTATCTACAGATAAAAGGAACTCTGCTGTAAAATTTCCACGTGGCGTGAAGGCTCATCTAGCAGTGAAGAACAGAAAGAAAACCCAAGCCCCTCCAAAGACAGGCCAGCTTACGTAGGAGAGCCCTCGGCGTTTAGGGCTGGCGAGGGATGGCAGCCGAGCGTGGACCCTTACCACGAGAAGGTGGCACAGCAGCAGTGCGCAGAGAGGTGCCAGTGCCTTCTACTGCTGAGACCCATACTAGAATGTTTTGCCTAGTATTCACATTTTGGACTTCATTTAAACTGCTAAAAACCAGGACATACAAAATATAGATGATACAGAAAAAGCTTAAAGAAAAAAAAACAAAAGATAGTGAATGAATGTCATACAGTGAGAAATTTAAGGGGGTCGTTCTCTCTACCCTTCCAAGGAACAACTTGAACATAGTGGATAAACACCGATAAGAGAAAAATCTTGGTGCTGACAAATACTTTACACAAGTGGAGAAAGAAGGAAGAGCACTTGACCATTAAAAGAAAGAGAAGCAATTCAATCTTCATCTTTCAAAGGTTCAAGGCATACACACTTCAGAGGAGCATGAGTTATTTGACTCTTCTGAGGAGTAACCCAGTGAGATTCTGCAGCCTCAGAGGCGCAGAAGGTCAGCACAGACAAAATAACAGTCTCCTGGGGGCTTAACGTTTATTATTATTCCAAGCATCAATACCCCAGGGACGGCAGCCTGACCGAAGCACACTGAGTGACGCACATTGCTGTTCCACCAGGAATCTTGCTGCTCCAGGGTCCAGGATCTTGGCTGAACCAGGATCTATCTTTGTAGACCGAAAAAAGTCACTCAAATTTATTTCACCCAGGAACTGAACAGAGATCTCATACAGATTTGTCCACCTGTAATACGATGTGAGGTCCAAAGGAACTACAGGACCAACACGCAATCTGATTTCTGCGATCGAAGAGACCAATTGACAGATAGTCTGCTGTGACTCAAAAATCAGCATACGCACAAACTCTCTCTTCTTAAAGGAAGAGAGGTGTCTTCACTACCTCTCAGCTTCTGCCTCCATCCTGATCAGCTTTCCTGAACACGCTTTCTAATGCTTATTTGCTTCTCATAAAAACAAGGGAAAAAAAAGAAGAAAAAACCCACCCCAAACCCACCCACCAACCAAGACCAACAGACTGAGCCTGGGCTGTCCTATTACTGCTCAGACACTCAAACACACAAACACAACCTGGCACCCCCAAGCACAGCTTCGTTCCCCTTGGGAAAGTGCCTGAGATAGGACGGGAAAGTTCCAGAAACATCCACCCGACCCAGCGAGACATCCTATGGATTTAACCCTAACGCACCCCAGCTTCCCTCCTGAAACAAGTCTTCAAATACGGAAAGTATCAAGACAAACTACATGAAGCAAGCGCTTCCTCTATGGCAACTTGCTCTTCCTATATGGACAGCAGTATTAGTTCCATGCAGGTTCCGATGAAGCATATTCCCTCGTATAAATACAGTTTCTAAAACAGCTAGAAATTAACATCTTATAAAAAATTCCTGTCTGTCTTGATATCAGAGGAAAAATATACATCTCTGAAACAGCGTTTGTTAACTGATCCCCCAGAGCAAACAGAGGGAACACAAGGCCACATAACTGCTCTTGTGAGGATTTCACATAAATATTTGCATTGCAGAACACCCTCTGCAGCAAAATAGCAGCGTTTCAGAAGTCAGAACGCTATTAATTAGAAACTAAAGCGATCCTTGCTGAGATTCCCTCGCAAGCCAAATGCTGAGCTTAAACCATTTGATGGCCACTTTCAAGCCAGTTTTCAGTGGAAAGAAACAGGGTGTTTCACGGTAGACTTCAAATCTTTACACCAGATGGAGAGTTCTGCGCGCCGTTCATGCTCAATTCTCTTTGTTCAATGCTGACTGTGAGCGATACATACCCTACCGATGATACTGAGCAGGAACGACAGCCCGAAATCCAAAGTTGCTGCTAGCAGCCCGACCTTGGGAACTCCTTGTGACTTGAATAATCTGCTTTCTTGGGGAACAAAGTATGCCTCCTAATTTTTTTATTTAAAGACTTAGTATAGTATAGGTTTTATTTTGGATTTTAAAACGCACGTGGTATTTTTCCACAAAATGACTGTCCTTTCTCAGACTGACTGCAAGATTCATAGAAAATACAGCTACCTAGGAGGGACTGCAGTCAGGAAACAGAAATTAATAGGATGCCATTCTTACACCTTGTGTGGCATCAAGTGAGTTCATTTTCTCCCTGCCCTCACACATAGTCAGGAAGATACTAATTTTGTACTAGCTCCAGCATTGTGAAGATTAATGCTGCTCAGCGCTTTGAAAACCTCTGCATTAGGTGTTAACGGTGAGGGCAGAGGGAGCGTGGGGAATAGCACCAGGCTGGAAGGCAATACGTTTCCAGAACTGCACAAAACCCGACCAGAGCTTTTGGGTTTTGAACTAGAAAGCAGCCGTCAGAAGGGAACTGGCAGCAGGGCTGTGCTCTGCGCAGCTCTCAGGAATCAGTTAAAGTTGGGACAGGCAGCACTATAAATCGGCAGATGAAAATAACCACGATGTGTTTCCTGTTCCTGGACAGGACTACTCAAACTCACGTCCCAGAAACTGGAGGAGTTTGTCATACTCCAGCGATGAGCTGAGTGATCCAACGAAGGGATTTTTAACACAGTATTACTCAATGACAGTTGATCTTAATAATCTTTGGGAATTCAAGTTTAAGCTTCCAAAGGCAACAGAAGAGTGACTCTTAACTCTCAGGT